CCGCGAGCCTCACGAAATGCCAGCAACATGGCCAATGATAATTTAGAGCCACTAGGTGCCCCAGTAGAGCCCTTGTACCAACTTTTTTGGGGGAGGGTTCCCCTACTGAACTAGACAGGAAAAAGTTGGTACCCTTATACTATCCTCTCTACTAGAGGACCTAGGCCAAGTCGCACGTTGCCTAGCAGCAGGCAGGGCAACAACGGCAGGTCAAGAGCTGCTCTGCAGCTTAGCGAGGGCAAGATCCGTGCACGAAGTGCTGGAAAGCTGAAGCACGAGACACAGACGTAGCGGAAAGACCATTTGATATTCCAGGGGCTTCTCAAAAGGGCCAATTTGATCATTCAACACGATACCTTTATCACGACCATAAGGAAGCCATCATGTTGTGGATCCATGGCCCCGCGCACAGCTTTCCAACGCACCGCAGAGTCGATCAGCTTTGGCTGAGAGACTCACTCAGCTTTGAGAGCCCGGTGCAAACGCAATTCTTGGGCGTCCAAACCACTCTGGCATCGATGGAAGTGAGGGCACTCGACCATATGCTCACCCAGACGGTGGACACACTTTGCACTTGATTTTTCTTGGCGGCTTCCCCTTCAGATGCGCCGCGACCCAACAAGTGCACACGTTTTTTGGGCTGGTCACTGGCCAAGTGAGTATGGGTTTTAGGGAGGAGCCCAAGCCCTGCGAGATCAACTGCCGAACAATTGCACTGAAGCCTTCAGACTTCCAAACCAGGCGTAGAACTGTCCTGCTGCCTGACCTTCTGCATGACAAGTCCTGTTCTTTGGGGTTGTTTTGCGACAGGAATTCACCCTCTAACAGAGCTTGGCAGCTACTACCCTTAGCTGGTGATTCAATTTGTTTTTGGAGTTTGGAGGGGATTATTGAAGAAGTTCAGCTTTTGGCTAGGCAACAACGAACCACACGGAAGAATGGTGCCAACACTCAGATGCTGGATCTGCCTGGCAGTGAGTCGTCCTTCTTTTCAGCCGGGGACCGCGGCGTCCTTTTGCCCCACAGCGGAGCCGCGGGGCTAAGGAGGAAGAGTGGCGGGAGGGAACTATAGCATCATCAGATGAACTATCATCTAAACGACTTATGTGATTTCCATTTTTGCCAATTTATTTTGAATAATTGTTACCACCGAAAGCCCTTCATACCACCTAAACCCTGTGGTAGAAAGGGGTTGAAGCATCTTAGAGGCGCGTATTCCCACAGTTCTAAGGGTTGGTTCCCCATTTTTGTCAAGCATGGTTTCCGGAGGTTTGCTAGAAGGATCCCTGGAAAGAGTGGAAATGGAAGCTACCGCTCGAATGTTCGGAACGTCCCAGCAACTAACATGGAAGTGCACAAACCCCCTTTCCAGGAGGACAGAAGTCTTTAGATGTCTTTAGGTATTCTTGGAATACTTTAACTAGGTCCCGCAGTAGTGCCCTTTCTCACCGATTCTTTTTTGGTTGGGAGGGTTCCCCTACTAAAATAGACAAACCAGAAAACAAAAAGGAGTTGGTACCAACTTATTCTATCCTCTCTACTGAAGGGCCTAGCCAAGGTTCAAGTCCCGCTGAGTCCCATGGCTCCTTCTTCGGGCCAGCTGCCTGGGACAGGCTGTTTGGAAAGGCGCTGAGTAGGAAAAAACGAAAAAAAGCAAGGCCGGCAGTCCACGCAGCCTTAAAAGAAATCACCCAGGAAACATCCTATGCTCACTCCCTGAGTTCTTGGACTTTAGGCACTTTTTGGGAAGACCATTTTAGTGGCAAGCAAACAGTTTCGACTTTTTCTGGCCAATCCACTCAGGAAGTGAATATATCAGCTGCAGTCACCCAGTTTTTGGGTATGTAGTTTGCATCTCATCGAATCCCCTTCTTGATTCTGGTGTGCCTAGAGATCCGGATCA